ATTTCTTCATTTTTTAGTGCTGGTGTTGGCCGAACACTGCCTCTCCGGCACACGTCACTTCAGTTCAGTTCACTCAGTAATCACGTATCTTTAGCAGGCTCCCGAGACTGACCGGTGCCAAACTCTATGTCATGTTAATCCAACTGTATTATCTACACGGCAGCTCCACCCATGCCAAATCTACAGCCAACGAGCCCGCCCTCTCCTCGGGAGCCTCCGGTACCCGCGTCTGTAACAGCTAAAGCCGGCTGGATCACTCTGCAGGTCTTTGTTTGCATTGAAAACTTGAATCCAAGACGATACAGGGACTTGGACTCATGCAGCTGCAGCTAAATAATAAGAGTTAAAAACTAAGCATCAAAACTTGCAAAATTATTATAATTTGATTGAACCACCTTGGGATTGTTAAAAAAAAGTGACTGCAAATGTATGAAAAAAATACCAATATGCTACACTTTTAGTTGCCCAAAACATTTAAGAAATTTGAGAAAAGATACATTAACAAAGTTGCCTCTGAACAAAAACTTTTGAAAATCCTTCAATGAAGGTTTTAACACAACAGATTATGTTGGGATTATTGTACAAGTAAGTTTAATGAAGTTAATCTAGGATTCAAACAACTGGTTTCTTTCTGTGGTTTATCGAGCCCTGTTGATAAGGAGGAAAATCCAAGCAGACTGCTGATCTAACAAAGACTGGTGTGTTCCAGGATGGATGAGGTCATTCCCTATGCATCACAGCACACACAAACAAACCAGCTTCTGATCTCACTCACAAGTCTAGTATCTGTAACTATCACTTTCCCTGCCCACGGGGACAGTCATATCTGAGGGGAATCATAAACTACTGAGTCAGGGTGAGTTGCATAAAGCAGTGGAAGTTAGTAAGATGGCTGAACTTAGTCTCACCATGCATTTGCGAACATGCTGAAAAGTGTCATTCCAGGTCTTCTCTGCAAACTTCAGCCGCAGGTAAGGAATTATGTTATCTTTCATCTCTGGTAGAAAAAAAGAGAAAACATTTTGAAAATGATTTGTTTTCATTGTGACCTTTTTCACTTATTTGATCCACTTTGTGGTTTTACATTACTCTTCACGTTTAGTAAATGTCTGTTGTTTTGCCTAAACTAACTAATCTTTTTTTGCTACAATGTTACCTTTTTTGCTAGCTTTGTCATCTTAAATATAGGGTTTTAATTTGATCATTGCTTATTCATAGTCCACTAAGCTAGTAATGATGAGTATTTCTTAAAATAATCTACATTTGGCTCTATGTAAAAATCCGCCCTAAAACCCATCTTCAAGGGATTTAAATTGGAATTATTTTGAGATTAACTAGCTCTACAAATCTTTGCCAACGTTTAAGTTTTTGAAACGGTTTTATTGCAACAATCCTACGTTTCCAAAATGCGTTTGTCAGTAGGTTTAAAGGCGAACACAAAAAGTACAAATGGTCAAAAATGTTTGGTTGTTGTTGCAATTTTAAAGCATTTTATCCAAACACTTTTTCACAGCATTTGTAAACACCACAGAACAAGAAAAACCGTTTGAAAAAGACTTACATAAATACTCGTTTGAAAGACAATTAAGTTTAATTTGTGGAATATTTACCTGGTTCACTCAGTGTCGACAAAACGTCTACACTTGTCCAAACGTGCTTTGTGATAATTAATCAATTACCGTTATCTCCATTTTAACTCAAAGGCGTTTGGAATTGACGAAGCTATTTTCAAAAAAAAAAGGACATGTTTTTTTCTCAAACTCACCCACCACACAGTTATTTTAATTTTATATTAAATAACAAATAAACTAAAAGTGTGTTTGCTGTCTGCTCGTCTCCTGCGGGCGGGCGTTGGCAGACGGAGCCAAGCCCACAGGACGTGCGTGGACTCGGTCTGCTGCTCTGGACTCAGTAGCTAACCATGAGCTAACGAGTACTTAGCACACTGTCTTTCCACTTTCACACCCTAAATTCAGACCGCATAACGTCTGCGACTGAACCGGGGGGAACACTGTCACGCTGACCGGTAGGTGACGTGCTATCGTGGAAATACGACTGCGTGTGCCTGCTATTGTTGTAACGGTGGCTGCTGGTCGTGTTTCTTGTCTTCTTCGCGTTTAGTTGTGATTAGCCGCTTGGTAGCCTTTTTGCTTTAGCCTGTGGGGCTAGCAGGAGCAGCGCGCTAACGCAGACAAGGCAAAAGAGACAGAATTAAAACAAAACAAAAAAGTGTCAAACCAATAGGTCTGTCGGAGTGTGTTTTCTTTTATCACTTTGTCTTTAATATGTCATCCAAACCACTGCCTCCATTTTGAACTTGTCCTTAGATTTAAATCAGGTGACGGTAACTCCCTACCTGATCCGTAGGTTAAGTTAGTTAGCATCTTTAATGACCTGACATGTCAACGCCCAATTTACGCGTAAACGCACAAGACGTCTACAAATGATGTATTACATTTGTCTTTACGCATTTGTCATACGTACGCTATGGTGAACCACACTGAGCACTAAAATGAAACAGTGGGCAAAACCCCTGTCACGACTATCCAGGGTAAATAATTGGATTTACGGTATATTATTACGAGTTTAGATTTCTAATCGTAAACAGGCGGGGACACGTCACCGTAACGTATTCTTTCTTGATGAGTCACATCTTATCAGTTTCTGGCTGATACAAGTAAAAAATAATGATGTTATGGCAGGTGACAGAAGATACATGTGTGTTAATGTTTTTAATTTTGCCCCCAAACTATTTTAATAACATCGTAAAATGTGTTAATGTCGTTCAAAAGGGAGGAAACATAAGGACATCACGTCGCTCTGTTCATTTGTATAATGACACATTGGCTGCAGTCCCATATTTACATATCCCAAGTCTGTGTTGTCCTGTTGTTTTAGGGACTTCATGACACACATCTCAGTGTGTGTGTGTGTGTATTCTATCTGTTTTCACCAGCCATTATGAAGAACAGATGATTAAAAAGAGACCAATCAACCAGAGGGATCTATAAAGTCATTAGGTTGCAAAGCAAAGTTGCAAGGGCACCCTGAGGCATAGTTACAGCATCTGGCATGGAATTGAAAGCGCAAGGGCACCCTGAGGCATAGTTGTTACAGCATCTGGCATGGAATTGAAAGGTTACTAGTTTGAATCCCAACTCTCTCTCACACCCGTTGCACAGTTTACTGCAGCCCACTGCCCCTCTCTCACAGGTGGGTTGAAGATAGACATATTTGTGCAATATTTAAGGAAAGGATCTCCCTCTGGGCACACCAACGTCTGTGAAGTCCCCCATTGGACAGTCCAGCTGTCAGTTACAGACAGTTACTACTATTTAGCAGATTTTTTTTACTAGGTTTAGTTATTATATATACTTATTGTGTATACATAAGTCATTTCAATTTAAATTAGGTCACAGAATGGGTCAGAAGGGCATTGGCCTGTAATGCTGATGAGGTACACTAATGTTGCTGTCATCTGTGTTTCTGTCTGCTTCTGGCTGCCTTTTATTGCATTACAGGAAACCTAATTATTAAATCTATTTGGTTAAATGCTGATTGTCAGGCCACTGCCAGACGTTTTATGATGGTTCCCCTGTGTTGCTGCAGTTCTTAGTTTCTAATGGATTATCTGTAACTAACCGACATTATTTGTTTATATGTATGCACCAAGTCACGAGGAAGTAGTGTGGGAATTTAGTTTATAACATGGCCTCTGACATCATTCATCCTACGTCTATTCTCTTCCTGACTCTAATGGAAATATTTTTACACGGTTAACGAGTCCCTTAACCCCGTTGTGAAATAAATGTGAGAGAGTACTCTCGATTGGTACATTACAGAAAATGCTCATCTCCTACTGGCATGCAGCTGCAGGGAGGAACGCTAATGGAAAATACTGATAATAATGTAGTTTGGAGATGTATCTTTTGCCACTGAATGGTCATTATCCTTCAGTCTTTGCTGCAGGTACAGAGAAAATGCCCCCTGCACTACATTTGCAGTGTAATGGCCGTTTCTCAGACATTTTATTGTAGTGCGATTTATTGCCTTGAGACACAGCAATGACTATGCAGCCTAACTACAGGACTGGAATCCAAAATCCCAGAAGTAATGATGAAACATCTCATGATTGTTTTCTCTCTTTTCCCCTCTCTATTCTCACAGGTATTATCACTCAGCCTTTTTTTTTGGCAGCTGCCGTCCAGACTGATTTCCCTCCTCTGCATTTCACAATCCTCGCCTCAACCTTGAACTCTCTCCTCTCCACGCTCGTATCTCTCTGCACACAGAGCCATGGCAGCCGCTAAGCCAAAGGGGCAGAATTCTCTAGCCCTTCACAAAGTCATTATGGTGGGCAGTGGAGGGGTGGGCAAGTCAGCCCTCACTTTACAGTTCATGTATGACGAGGTGAGTAATTTCCAACTCCAGCTGTCGAGCTACAACCTTTACAATATGGTTCTCTGACATGTTGAATGTACAACCCCTTTTTCTCCCGCTCCTAGTTTGTTGAAGACTACGAGCCCACAAAGGCAGACAGCTACAGGAAGAAAGTGGTGTTAGATGGAGAGGAAGTACAGATTGACATCCTTGACACGGCTGGACAAGAGGACTACGCAGCCATCCGGGATAACTACTTCCGCAGTGGAGAGGGTTTCCTCTGTGTATTTTCCATCACGGAGCTGGAATCATTTGCAGCAACAGTCGACTTTAGGTGCATTTGCATTGTTTTATTAGGATGCAATAAGTTCCGTGGCTCAGGTTTCGGCAGATTAGATCTTCTGCTGAAGTTCCTAACACATAAGTGCATTGTTTGACATTTTGGAATCCTCTGGGACTGTGATAAACCCAAATGTAATAGCAGGGTGGTTTATTTACATAATTCATGGTCTAACTGTATTTCCTGTCTGCCTCTAGAGAGCAGATACTGCGAGTAAAGGAAGATGAGAACGTGCCCTTTCTCTTGGTGGGTAACAAGTCCGACTTGGATGACCGACGGCAGGTCAGCGCAGACGAAGCCAAAGCTCGTGCCGAACAGTGGGGCGTGTGCTACGTGGAGACGTCTGCTAAAACCCGTGCCAACGTCGACAAGGTGGGTGCAAAATTAGGCAGAACTTAGAGCAAGTATTCAGTGACTTCAGCATTCAACTCAGAATTGACTCAGAGTCAACAAAAGAAGTTGTCAAATGCTCAGGAGAATGTTGAATCAAGTGTGGCTTTCTTTCAAAAGGTCTTAAAAATCATCATTTTGGTCAGTACAGCCAGAAATGTTTTATACACTTGACAGTGTTAAAAGTAAAAAGATTTAAATTTGAATTTGTTTCTCTCCGTAAAAATAAAGTAAAGTAAAAATATTTAAATTTGAATTTGTTTCTCTCCGTTTGTGCACAGGCAGTGAATGAACTTAATAATCTCACTGCTTCTTCCCTCAGGTGTTCTTTGACCTGATGAGAGAGATCCGGGCGAGGAAAATGGAGGACAGCAAAGAGAAAAACGGCAAGAAGAAAAGTAAAAGTTTGGCCAAGAGGATTCGAGAACGCTGCTGTATTTTATAGTGGTAAAAGAGAGCGGGGGGAGCTGCTGTTGTACATATACATTTCTCAGACTTTTGACATTTATTTTGTGCTCGTACCTGACCGCGACTCTCCTTTCCTGGCTAACAGGAAATCTGACCATGTGTCAGGAGGTAGTGAGGTGGCACTTCATACACCATTTATAGCTCTAACTTTTTATGTGCTGACACTCCAAATAACTTACGTACTCTGTCTCTTACTCTGACCATTTAACGGAGTGTAATAAATGGATGGTGTTTTTACTTTAGGACCCAGCTTGACCAGAGGCGAAGCTCTGGAATGTTACACAACCGTTCATTGTAGAGTTTAATGTGTATAATATATTCAAGAGAAACCTTGTGGTGGGAGCTGAAAGGGGAGGACGAAGTGAAAGTGTCAAGAGTTGAGATTTAAATGCAAAGTTCCACTTCATATGTTGAGTCAGCACTGCAGACATTTACAGTAACCACAGTGTCAACTCTGAGGAAATGTTTGATTGTGTTGATTCACAAGCATTTGAATGGAAAGCGTCCGAGCACACACTGAACCCCAGCTGCGGTTTTATTGCCATCTCTTCGGGTCATTTTCAATCTTCTACTTTACTCTGTGCTATGATCGCCAACACTTTATTTTTATCTCGAGTCTAACGCCTCCTTTGTCACGCCGTCCTTTTAAAGCAAGTGCACTAACGTTTCCTTTCCTCCTGCTCTCACCGTGTTAAACATTAATAATGACACCTGTAGTCTAATAGAGATTACTGCAACACTTGAAAGCTTTTTTTTTTTGGTTAATTATGCTGATATTCCAGAAGGTTTACCTCAATATGGCATTCAATGCCTGTCTTTGGAATCCCTGGTGCTCTGTTAGAAAAGTGATTCCATGACACTACGTCCTTTTACGTATTTTCTTTGTCCAAACTAAATTATTTTTTAGACATGTTGATGATTTCTTTTTGTTACTTTCCTGGCCCAGTTTATTTATTCCCATCCTCTAAAATATTGGACATGACTGACTTAAACAAGAATTTTCCTCCCCTAACTGTAATCATGACAAGTGACTGCTATGTAATGGTAGTAAAGCAGAACATCAGAACTGAACTGCAGCTCAAGAGCAACAAGGCCAGCTCTGATAATCCATGACTTCAAATTAGAAGCGGATCAGTTATGCCAGTTAAAGTCTAGTAAAAGATGAAAATAGGTTGAAGATAAAACTCCTGACAACATACTCCTTTGCTCAATTCTTGAGATTACTGACACACTACAAGTTTCTGTCTCAGTAACATTTAACAACAATATTTAAAATGATCACAGCAGCACACAGTCGCACATTTCTGAAGGTAAACACATTTAAATATCTCGTCCTGTGAATGTGAAAAAGTCAAAGGTGTAGAGGACTGTTGTCTGAAAAGACAGGTAAAAAATATCTGTCTTTGTGAGGGTTTTGGTGATTTTTAAGTAAATTGCTTCACTGTTTATTGTGACGTCTGTCCTGTCTGCTTGTGCTCTTCCAGTGACGTGCAGTGAATCAGTCATTAACACTGTGCTCTCCTTGCTTTTGTTTCCTGCTCTGCACATCTGTCCATGTTTCTATGCTTTGGTCACGTCATGCTAACATAGTGGTACAACAGTGTGAGGATGCTCCAAATGTGACAGAAATGCTTTATAGATGTGTAAATTACAGACAAGAAAACACTATGAAATTTACCCTAATGACCTTTGCTTTTCCTACGCCTGAGCCATTTTTCAACCACATACATTCCTCACATATTTAAATCTATTTTATTTTTTTAAAGTTGTAATTTACTCGGATAACCATAACCATCCTCTCAACCTCCCCAACATTTCCAATCTGGTCTGCATTAGGGTCATTCATTTCATGTGTTCATCGCTACCAGCAAAAGTTCAGGCACTAGCAACACTGGAGTCTATGCAAAAAACACTAAAGATACACATGCGGTCAAGTTTGGATATTTACAAAAATTGCTCGGTGAGCCGTATGTAACAACATGAAAGCTAATTTCTCAACACTTTTCCAAAGTTCGATTCTGCGACAACTCACAGAGTTGGTGGTGGTCATAGAAATATAAAGCCCCCATCAGCTGGTTTTACCTAACTAGACCACAAAAAACAAAAAACAAAACCCCAACATGATCCAGAAACAAAGAAAAGAAACAAATGTTGCAAATACTTCACTTATAGTATGTTTTCTAAATATTCCTTGCCTTTAATGTCGAGCTTCGTTTTTATGCTACAGTAATGTTTACGTCTTAAGCGAACCCCCTTATTTTAAAGCCAGAAAGAGAGCAACACAAAAAGGCATAATATTGTTTTGATGATTCCAAATGAAGCTCTCAACAACATTGACTGAATGCAGCCCCAAACCAATACAGGGCCCTACCTGTTTGTTAATATGTTTTAAAACAGAGACCTAATATTAAAAATATTTAAAAGAAAAATCCAACTTTTTTATTTATTTAACCAATTTGTTGATATTCAGTAACTATTGCCTGTTAGCCCCTTTCTAAAGACTAATGAACTCTTGCCAAGCACTATATATATATGCCTTCAGCAGGTGTGTCTCTAATCCTGTTTTCATCACTGTCCATTATAGTGTGGTAATTGTACAAAAGAATAGTAGAATATTAAAAAAAAAAATCTGCCGTATAAAACGTCTACTAAAAAGCACACAGAACGAGAGAGGGGTGAACGTGACCATGTGACAGGAAGTGAGCTGGAAACACTAATTTGTGGCATGAGAATGCTTGTGAAATCATCTGGTTTGATTATATATAAATATTTATATGTATAAAGGGCTAACCTCCAGTGCACCATACCATGATTGAAAACCCTTCCTGACAGTCAAATTGACAGGCACAACAGAAAAAAAAGACTTTCAATCTAAAAGAACCACAGCCTGTCATGATGCACCTTCCACAGAGTAAGGCCATTACAGTAAGTGCTGTGTGTGTGTGACTGCTAAAAGCTACTGGACTTTAAGTGACCACCATCACGCTTCCTTGCTGTAACACTGGCCGAACAGCATTTCAGTCTCTGCTCAGAGCTTTACATTGTCATTTCAAGTCCTTGTCTTTGTCGTTAAATAAATCAACTCGGTGGCCTGAAAATATCCAACTGGACACTGACACAGTCGGGATGTTTGTGTGAAAGCTATGAGCGACACTGTCCTACTGGATATTCATTTTGCCTTTTATATATACATGTCAATAGAATTTAAAAAAATAAATAAATGAGCAAGTTGTCTGTCTTTGATTGGATGGTTGTATGTTTGCCATCGGTTAAATGTTTCCTCCTTGTTTACTTATTTTAAGAAGTAACTACTAATGTAGCCTGTATCTGTTTGTGAATGCAAGAGGTGAAGCTTACATTTCAATTCATTTGTGTGAGTAATTTGGAAATGGCAAATAAAGTGGACATTACTGATAATACTTTCACATGGGTTCGATTTTTTTGTCTTGTGATTTATGTGTTTAAAGTAATCAAGTAGAGAGCCACATTGATTTTGATGTTTTTTAATACACAATATGGTATGATATAACGTCCACTTTTATTATTTATAAATAATAATTATATAATCTGTATTTATTATATAGTTATTTCACATTGATTTTTATGTTATTTAATACACAATATGGCATGATGTAACGTCCACTTTTATTATTTATGAATAATAATTCTATAATCTGTATTTATTATATAGTTATTTATGAAATACTGAAATAATATATATTGGTTATATATATTAAATATCATCATCAACATGGATGGTTTAACGAATTTTATAGGGTAAAAAATATACAACCAACTGTAAGGTGCTGTATTTTTAGTCCACCGTTAACGGCGTTTTATTTTGAAGGCAGGGGTTTCCCTTGGTGTTTACGTAACCGCTGAACTGCATGACGTAAACGCGTTTCATTGGTTGACATCGACGCACGAGGCCTGTAGTTTGAAACCTTGTATGGGCCCCTGTGATAAGCTGTACCGTTAGCCACTTTGGGAACAAAGTTATCACATTTTGAATTACATATTAACACCCGGTTATTGATCCATAACTGGAAAAGACGTGCGCCTTTTTCGGACACTGGAGTTGCCATTAAGGAGTAACGAGGCCGACAAGATACCGTAGAAGCGGGCGTGTTTTGAATGGCATTGTTTTAAATGCTCAGAGCCTCTAGTTGCTTTGAACTCCGGCGCAAGGAGAAAAGAAAGCTAAGCGCTAACAGTTAGCGGCGGTTGTCCAACAGCCAACTCGCGTGCCATTTACTTCCTTGTTGTGTAATGGAAGGCGAGAAGAAGTTTACAAGAAGTGGGGATTTTTTTGCCGCTTGGATGTAAATACAATATAATGAATGGAATTAGTTGTATTCATGGACGGCAGAGTTTCAACAGTACCCGGACTTTAGAATCTGACAGCGGCCTATGCTTGGACCACCAAATGGAATGTGTAGCAGCTAATAAGAACTAGCTAGTTAAACCAACTAGCATCTGGCTAGCCAATCTGAGAGATGTTCGTCCTGGATTGCCAACGGTTAATTATGGAAGTGCTCGAACAGTAAGGACAAAGTTGCAGATCATATGTGACAATATCTTTGGGCACCAAGTGTCTTTGATTGGCGTGAGATTAAACTCACTTTACCTGGAACCTTCTCAGTGTTAGCTTTGTGTTGCTAATTGGATAGTATTAGCCACCTAGCTTATAACGTACCTAGTCCAATGTTTTGTTCCGCGACAAAACGAGGAACAATAATTTCGTAAAAAAGTAAACAGTTGTGTGGATTTGTCTGAACTTGGGAGCCTCAACTGTAAAGGATATATGCCTAATTCGGACGTACTTCGCGATTCCCGGGGACGTAGCCCCTCTGCGCAGCGAAATGCTAACAAACAGGAGCGGCGAAGCAAACCCGGCAGCGGGACTGCTCAGCGGGACAGACACCGCGACAAGAGGCGCTCGTCTGCTTCTCGGAGAAAGAAACGCAGGCAGGCCAAAGATAGGGGCTTATGGTACGCTGGCGCACACGGGGACACGGAGAACATCAGAAAAAGCACTTTTGACAGAGAAATGGAGCAAGGAACATTAGTGGAGTATGACGACGTAAGTTCGCAGTCAGAGAAGTTCTCTGGAAGCCCCTCTCCAAAACTTGACCCCCGGCTATCAATGGACCGACTCAGTGATGTAGACTTCGGTGAATACAACGGACCAGTTTCCCCAAACAGAAGTCACCTGAGAGACAGAGAGGTGGCGTGTCTCAACAGGGGCGAACATACAAGAGGACCATCTGAAAGAAGCAAGCGAGACCGGGAGACGGGCAAGAAAAAGGACAGTCACAGCCGGGATAGAGACTCTTCTAAAGTACGCAGTGGAGGTGGTGGCTCTAAGAATCACAAAGAGTCGACAAGGAGTAGTGATAGAAATGGTAAAAGGACGTCATCCTCTCAGTCTGGGACAGACAAAAGGGATTCCAAGAGACACAGGAGTAATACAAGAACTGATAAGGAAACCCCGTCTGCCTACAGAAACGCTCCGCAATCTTACAGAGATGACCGCGAAGACCTCAGGGGATACAGGAGGAGTCCTGGTTTAAAAGGAGACAGTCCCTATGGGACCTCGTACCCGTATAGCTACCAGTCTCCTGGTGGTTATAACCAGCAAATATCCAGAAGAAGTCCCATTTCTTATGGAAGCAAGAGACACTCACCTAGTTCAACATATTACAGCCGAGATGTAGATGTTTATGGATCATATGGAATGCCAAAGTCACCTAGTTCCTATTCTAGCAACAAAAGGAAGCGGTCACCTGGAAGCCCGGGATGGCGTCGTTCTCCGAGTTATAACAGGCACAGTCCGTTGGAACAAGGAGAATTTGCCTCAAGTCCTTATGGGAACCGAAGGAGATCACAAAGTCCATACAGAAAGTCACCAAGTCCTGATATCAGGTAAGTTCTACACAGTATGTGAATAAATTGCTACAATCTGAACACCATAAGTTTAATACAAGTTCTAAAACAAATGATCTTAGTAAAAGCTTTTAAAGAGTGACACTAACCTACATGTTTGCATAAGAGCAAACAATATTGTTTTGGTATACAGTGTATGTGTCAGTTTAGGTCAGTTAAATGAGATAAACAGAATAGATAAAGTCACATATGCAAAACCAGTTCTCATTTTCTGTGCAGGCGATCAGCTCGGTCACGCAGCAAAAGTCCATATTTGTCTACAAGGCATTCGCGGTCTCGTAGCCGCCACCGCCACTCACGCTCCCGCAGTCGCCCCTCCAGCCTCTCACCAAGCACTCTGACGTTCAAAACCAGTCTCGCCGCTGAACTCAGTAAGCAGAAGAAGGTCAAAGCGGCCGAAGCAGCTGCCAAGGCCAAGAACTCCAGCAACACATCAACTCCAACCAAGGGTTCCTCGTCTGTTCCTCAACCTAGTCCAAAGTCTAACAACACGTCCAGAAAGGGCCGTCCACCCTCCCCACCTCCACCTCAGCCGGAGAAAGGGCCCAGAACTCCACCATCCAGCCAGCCACTGTCACCACCTGACAGGTCCTCCAAGAAAACCAGTGAACTCCAGACCAGCAAGGACAGAGAAGGAAAAGGGAAGGGTGATCCTGTGCTTCGGGACAAAAGAAAAGTACCAGCAACCACACAGGGCAAAGACAAGGACAGAGCCACTGGTCCAATTACCCCAGCTCTCCCATCCTTACCTTTGCCACAATCAGTACTTGACAACATTGATAAAGGAGAAGGGTATGTGTGTGTTTTGGGGGGTTAGTTTATCTTATCTAGTGCTTGTCGTACTTACACTTGTAGAATTGCTCACAATTTTTGTTTTATCTGCACTAGTATTAAGGACAACTCACTCTCAGGGAAGAAAAAGCCAGAAAAGAAGGCTCGCCAGCTTCTGTCCGACCTGCCGCTTCCACCCGAACTTCCTAGCTGCACTTCCTCACCACAGAGCCCTTCGGAGGACAAGAAGTCTCAAACAAGCCGCAAAAGACCCAAGTATGTCAGAGTTTATCTACGGCT